CTACATGTGTTTCAGTCCCTTAAGTGTGGTGCTTCGGAAATAGCTTCTTTTGGTGTCAGCCAAAGGTCAACTCTTTCCACTATGTCTCAGGTTATTTTTTCAAGGAAAACTGTTGCCCAAAACGCTAAGCTGTGACATGACTTTTACATGTGTCCTCTTGGATATGCAAAATTCCAATGTCTCATCTACCCCAGAGCCGGGGTATATATATATTCCTCGTCTAAGATGACTTTTCTGTCTTCAGTGTTAGTAGATGCTCATTTTCTATGGGCTTCAATTAGTTGTTGGATTGGAAGAAAAGTTGGGGGCAATTTAGAGTTCTTCTCTCTCTAATCTTATCAGCCTCAAAAAAAGAAAAAGAAAAAGAAAAGAAAGTATGAGGAGGTAGGAAAGGATCAGAAATAAGACCAGAGAAAGGAAATCTCTTCTCACACCAGTGGTGAGTTATTGAAACAACTTGCCCACGAGTCATTTTTCTCAACCTTGAAAGGTAAGAATGGGAAATCTGAAGAGCAAAGATTGTCTCCTCACCTGCTGAACATCAAACCAAAAAGGAAACAGGAGGAACAGGCTCGACTTTACCTCAAGAGGAAAGAGATCTTCAAGATGAGGATCAGGTCAGTCTATCTCAGTGAAATATGTCCTCTAAGTCTTAAGAATGGCCACCAACTTAGGAGTCCATTAGCTGGTAGGAGTCTGGTTTATTAATATGCAGTATAAGCTAGATTTCATAAAAGGACCCATTTTACAGAATTTTATATTAAACTCCACAAGGGGGCACTCTAATATTACTTTCCTAGCACCATAGTAAAGTCAAAAAGAAAAAGGAACACCAGTGAATTCAGCAACTAGTTCAAATGCAACATACACAAAAGGGGAATTAAGAAAGTCCCATTAAAGAAGCAAACTAATCTTATAATCTTCCAAACTTTAAATGTATTATCATTTTAACAAAACTATATAAAAGACAAAGCATCAACAGCTATATTTGTTATATACATGACTGAGACATAACAAATTTGAAGCATACAAAATTTTGGTTGCTGAAACAAGTCACAAACAAAAGCAACCTCTTATCTCCGTCCAACCATCTTTGTGGAAGACCTCCAAATGATATAGGGGAAAGGAAATTACAGCACGTTAGATGTCCAGATTGTTCTCTAAAATCAAAGAAAGAATTCTAGGAATGGAAGTTACAAACAGAATATATTTACTAGGGAAAGAAAGCTTCTATCTGAGACAGACAGAAAGGGTCCCAAGTGGGCTGTCCAAGGGGGAATATCTTCGGATTGAAGGCAATGATCTTTTACTATAATAAATTATTTTAAACACTCACCATATGATTCTATCATACCTTATGCTACCTTTATAACGACCTGGCCTTGTGCTGGAAATGCTCCTATCAGGTAAAGAATAACTGCTCCCTGGATGTCTTCTGATTCTTCTCTCCTCACTCCCTCGTAAAAGCAATCTCATCAAGATCCAAGGCATCTTGGGGTACAGTTATTTGTCACATCTTCCTTCCCACCCTGCTCCCCAGGAAATGGAGCTTACTTCTTTGTCGTTATATTCCGGACAGTTTTTCCCCCTTGTGCCTACATTTTAAACCCAGTTGCTCCGTAGTACAGGAACCTTCTATACGGTCTCCCCACTAACAAAGCCTTCACTCCCCAACATCTGAATCTAGTTGAATGACTAGTCCATTTAGGATAGCAGAGTTTAGTTTAAAACATAAACCACAGCTTTCTCAATAACCCCAGAGGAGAAGCCAGAGCTCTCCACAGCTGACTGCCTCTCTCCAGCTCCTCTTCCTTCAGAGATGCCCGCCCAGCTCTTGTCTCCTCAGGCTTTGCTCAGGTACTGGCCAACTAGGGCATTCCTTCGGGACCTCCTCTGAAAAGCAACATTCCTGCCCATAACTCCGCACCCTTGACCCCACATGCTCTATTTTTCTCTATAACACTTGAGAACTTCTTGGACGGTAATCATTTATCATGTGGCCTTTCCCAATAAAAGCACCAGGAGCGCGAGTCCTTGTTTACTGCTGGCTTCCCAGAGCTGAAAGCAGCCTCTGCTATGTAGTTCTCTCTTGATTTTTTTCCCCAGAAGTGGGGATTGAACCCAGGGCCTCTTGATTGCAAGACAAGTTCTCTACCAGTGAGTTACACCGCAGCCCTCAATAATTATTCTTTTAAATGAACAAATTACTCAGTATATCAAATCAATGAAGGATGCAGACTCCTGGTGGTCACAAGAGGGAAGAGACAGATGACTCTGGAGTGTTAGTCTCAGGGCGGTTAAAGGGCATCTCTTCCATTGAGACCACAGGGACAGTCCAAAAACAACAGAGTTAGGCTTACAGATGTGCCCAAAGGGATACTGAAGCTGTTTCCCTTCAAAACAAAACAAAACAACAAAAAGCAAAACCGCGAGAGGATATGAAGTCAGAGACCACAGAGCAGAAGACTGCGGGTCTGGGAAGTGAGAGCAGCCCGACTGTTTGGAGCACTGCCCCTTGCCCTTATCAATCCTCCCCAGGCATGCTCACATAAAATATTAAGGGAGAGATAAAGTGGGCGTCGCTGCTAATGAAGAGGCCTAAATGGGCTTTCAGAATTACCTTCTGAAAGGAGCTCGTAGGGAAGGGACAGCGTGCCATTTAGAAAGCTGCCCCTCATAGCTAAATGCAGCTAGGCACATTCTTAATTAGGGAAGATTCCTAATCGGGCTGAGGTTCCTGCACTGTGAATCAGAGCAGTGCTTAACAAAAGCCTTGGGAAGAAACACTGCTTTCTTCATGAAGGTCCTAGGGAGCTTTTGTAATATGCTGTATGCAAATAAGTTTGAACTGTACAAAAATGCACTCTCTTGCATTCCTCCTCCCCCTCCTCCTTCTCCTCCCCCAAGGTGGGGGGGGGGGCAATCCTTTCTGAGCAGTAATAGAATTGGGGCAGGATGCTGGGGATTAAACCCAGGACCTGATGAACTCTAAGCTTGAATTCTGCTACTGAGCTACAGCCTCAGCCCCTAGCAATAGTTTTTGGATTGTGGAAGTGATTTTAGAGGTCATGAAACTAAACCAGCTCCTTCTGCCTAGAGAAGTGACTGGTTAAGAGAAAGCAAGTGTGTTTCTGTTTCCAGCATTCTCAGAGAGCAGGTTGGAAATCAGAGTCAGGGGTAAACCAGGGGCTGGGAAAGAGCAAGGGATACAGCACCTGCGCTTCCTGGAAACTGCCTGCCTCCAAGGGCCTCCTCCCGGGGACTGCTGAGGGTTGTCTCAATGGCATTATGAATTATATTCCTAAAACACTCCTTGCTTAGAGCTATTGTTCAGCTCTTTTAAAAGTCTTAGGGACTCTCCTTCCCTTGGATCCACTTACTCTAAAAGAACCAGTGTTCTGTTTCCCCATAGGAAGAGTGTCTCTCCTGTTTTGGCCAGAGCCAGTCCTGGGCTGGGCCACCTGGTGTCTATTTGTACCTCCACTTTTCAACACCCTGCACCCTGTGCTGGCCCTGCTTTCCCCACTGGGCCTACTGCAATGCCTTCACTTCCTCTCCATGTACATTTTACACTTCTTCCCAAACCAACTCAAATATCCAGCTGCTCCACTAGCCTGTGCCAGTCTCTGCAGTAGCTTGCAAGGCTTCTTCTTTCAAAAATATTCTCTCTCTTGCCGTGTATGGTGGTACATGCCTGTAATCCCAGCATTCAGGAGGCTGAAGCAAGAGGATCACTGTGAGTTTTAGGTCAGCCTGGGTTACATTATGAGCTTGAGGTCAGCCTGAACTACATAGTGAGTTTCAAAAATGAAAACAAAAATATTCTCTCTGGAAAAAAAAATTCTCTGACCCCCTGGCATTTGGGGGCAATTTTGTGCCTCTAATCTTCCTGGTCCCGCCAAATGTTTATTGCTCTGTTAGTCAACGAGGACAGCTCCAAAGCAGTCCTGTCCACTCCACGGCTGGATCACGGTGCTGTTCAATGACTCCATCTTCAATTAGGCAGTCATAAAACATTGCCCACTGAACCTGGCCACCAAATGTCTCACTTTTGCCCCCTTGAGATCCGTGTTAACAACCTAAGATCTCTGGGCTCAAAGGCTCTTGCTGGAAGCCGGGCACCTGGAACTGACCTGTTACAGTCAAACCTCAATGTTATTACAAGCAGATGCTTAAGAGCCTTGCCCCGTGATTCTCCTGTGGGGTAGAAAGCTTCTCAAGGAATACCAGCCTCAGCCAAGATTACCCTGACACCATGATAAAGGGAAACAAATCAAAGCTGCTCTGACAGGCTCTAACATCCCCTGCTGAGATGCCACCACTGCTTTCTCCACCACACGTGGGTTCCCCTTAGCATTTTCATGAAACACAATTATAAGCAGCCACTCCACAAACATCTGAGGGGTATTCTTGTCCCTAGTTTATACCCAGGAACACTGAAGCTGAAAGAGGTAAAGCAATTTAGCTGAAATTATACAAAAGGATCTGTAGGCCCGCGCCCAGTCATCTGATGCAAGCGTTCATCAATCCCGTGTATACTTCTGTGGACAAAAAACACTTTACAAAGTTTAACTAGAGTAAACCAAAAAGAAAGCGGGGGGGTCCTAGGTGACCTCTTCCACCTACAGGATGGATAGAAAGATGGATGGATGAAGGGAATAAGCATTAAGCAGGACTCGCAAATTTTCTCTGCCCCAAAATAGAAGAGGCAAGGATGCCAAAAATGTCATAAATCAAGGTAATACTGAAGGCCAAGTTTTCAAAAATCAAATGGACAAACTATAACCCGAGGCTGACGCCTATTTTTGTAAACAGAATTCTACTGGAAGTTCCAGCAGTCACTGTCTACTTAGGCCCCACAGCGTTCCGAAGAGTAAGCAGCGCACACAAGCCAGTTCCTGCACCCCACTTTGAAAAACAAGCAAGCTCATCGCGCGCCCCAGGCCGCGAGGGGTTCAGACGATAAGCCCCCACCCCACCCCACCCCACCCCCAGCAAGGCTGGAAAAGTGCGGAGGCCCCGCCCCGCCCCGGCCGCACACCGACGCCCGGGGGCTAAGGGCACCCTGCCTCTTTAAACCTAGGAGGCTCGCAGGGGGTGGGGCCGGCGTTGCCGGGGAGACGGACGGACGCACAGCAGCGCCTGCGCCGAGGGACTCGGCGACGGCCTCCGCGCGAGCCGCAGCCCCGCTTCCCTCCCGGGATGGCCAGCCTGCCCGCGCGGCGCAGCCTCGGAGAGCCCGAGGAGGACAAGGGGGAGGAGATGGAGGACGAGATGGAGGAGGACGAGCTGGAAGACGAGGAGGAGGAGGAGGAGCTGGAGGAGGAGGACGAGGACGAGGAGGAGGAGCTGGAGCGGAGCGGGGAGGGGAAGAAGGCCGAGAGGGCGCCCGTGGAGGCGAGGAGAGCGGGGAAGCCGCCGGCGGACGAGGCGGAGGGCGCGGTGACGTTCCGCGATGAAGACCTCTGGACGATCTTTGACCTCGGCGACCAGGAGGACGACGAGCCGGACGAGGCGGGGCTGCTGCAGCCCCGGCCCCGCCTGATCAGCGTGGCCAGCCCCAGCCTGAGCCCGACGCCGCCCTACCAGTCCTCGAGCCTCTCGTGGATCTCGTCGCGCTCCGAGTCCCCGCAGACCCACGTCTCCTCCCGGCCGAGTACGCCCGGGCCTACGGCGCCCCGCACACGCCGCGGTCTCGGGCCGCTGGGCTGGGCTGAGCTGGGGGCGCGGTTCACATTTTAGGGTCACACGTGAAGCGGGCGGTGCTCCTGCTCGGTTACGCCTGGAGGAGCAGATCTGGAGGGTGCTGGGCTGCTGAGCAGTCCTGCAGAAAACCCCCAGCTTGCTTTTGTGTGTAATTTCCCGTATGGGGAACCACTGCGATCACTGCTTTATACAAGAGAGGCACAGCAGTGATTTTAAAATCTGTTTCTGAAACTCCCAAAGTTGACATTTTGACCTGGTTAATTCTTTAATGGGGGTGGGTGTCATGTCCCATGCATTAAAGGTTGTTCAGTAGGATCCCTGGCCTCTACCCCTTTCTAGGCTTGTAACACACACACACACACACACACACACACACACACACGACGATCAAAATGTCTTCAGACATTGTCTCTTGCTCCCTGGGAGATGAAATTGCCCTTTTGAGAAACTGATTTGAGAAGCTGATTTCGAGGGAGTGGTTAAAGTTTTAAATGTTTCATTTAACAGGTTTTCCTAAAATATTTCAGACATTTAGAGAAGACATGTCTGAAGTAAAAGTAGATAGGTAAGAAAGTATTCTCAACTTTCCAATATTATTTTTTGATGCAAATAATATTTACGTTTTGGATAAACATAGTAGGAAGTACAGTAAAATAATCTGGGACATTTCCAATTTATTTACCCAAAAGGTTGCTTTGTTTAATCTGCACTGGTAGGCTGTTTATAAAAGATAAAGATAAGACCCTTCTTATGCCTGGCTTGTGTATTACCTAGCTGTGAAGATAGCATATCGTTTTATCAGTGTAACGTGAAATGAATATTGCTATTGTACAATAGTAAGTGTTACAGAATTAGAACACAGGTCTCTCAAGTAGGCCTCTCCTGGCTAAATGCAACAGTGCCCAGGGACACCTTTAGTGAAGCTAAGTAGAAACTGCAGCATTCTCATTCCCACAAGTTCTCTTCTTTTACTTACAGTTCCTATCACAGTGCTTTAACTAAGACAGACATAACTGAAAGATCTTTGGAATCTCTATAAAACTTCCCTGAAATACCACACCACAGCTAAGTCCACAATCTTGTACATTTTTAAATGGGAGAGAAGTTGTTCTCTCCCACTTATCCTTTTCTTTCTGCTTTTAATTCAACTTGTTAGTAAAAGATAATATGTTAAAAAATTAGCATATGCCAAGATATAAAATTGAGAAATTCACTCTTTTCCAGAGTTAACACTTTTCCAGAGTTTTTGTTTCCATTTAATTTTTTTATTTTATTGAAAAAAACTAAAAAAGTTTCATAACAAAATAAAAGGAGAGTAACAATATTTACTGGCTCCCTTTAACTGTAAGTAACATTTTTATCCCTTTATCAATTTCTGACAAAACTCTTGATTACTTATTTCTCCATTTTTGGTGGTTATTTTTATTTTTTTCAGCATTTAAGACTTTAAAGCATTTAAACCTTCTTTCTTTCTTTCTTTTTTTTTTTTTTAATTGGTACCAGGGATTGAACTTATGACTGCCTGCTTGCAAGGCAGGTGCTTATGGCGCTGAGCTAAATCCCCAGCCCCATTCCTTTTTTTCTTGATTTATCAATTTTAGAAAGTGTGTATTGGATTCTGTTATGAAAAATTAACACATTAATGTACTTCTTTCCACCTTTTCTCTAACCTGTATTCTAACAAACTCTATATAATAAGTTATATTAAACTATACATTCATATGAAATTACATTATAAAGTTTTGTTTGCATTGTTTTATTGATTATGATTAACCCTTGGTGCTTTAGGTACACATTGACTTAGAAATTGAAAACCAATAAACAATACATATAATTTTATGGTAAACCCATTGTAATTCGATCCTGGGATAAGAAAATAATTCCATGTCTGTAAAAGTTATCTCCTAAGAAGTGAAATTTTCAGCTCAGTTGTTTTCAGCTGTCATTTTTCCAGGTTGAACTCAAAATGTTTTCTCAATTCCCTCTTCTCTTTTGTTCTTCTTTCCTTTGCTGGACAAAGCAATGGGAGACCCCCTTTCTGTGTTTGCTTGATTTGACCTAGAGCAGTGATGGCGAACCTTTTAGAGCTTTCAATGACAACAAACAGCAGCTGGCTGGGGCACACTTGCCATTAGTTAGCCACCACTGAAGAGTTTATCAGGTGCTAAATTTCCTTTTGAAAAACACCTTACGGGGCTGGGGATTTAGCTCAGCGGCATAAGCACCTGCCTTGCAAGCAAGCAATCTGGGGATTTAGCTCAGTGGCATAAGCACCTGCCTTGCAAGCAGGTAGTCGTGAGCTCGATCCCCGGTACCGATAAAAAGGAAAAAGACAAAAACACCTTACTTTCTTTGTCTTGAGCAGTATTAGCTCTGCTCTGGGTTTCCCTTGACTTATAACCATGTATGTTCTGTATTTTAAGGACTTCTTCAGTAGTGCTTGTCCCCCAATTATAACTTGTTTTCCAGTGCCAATTGTTTGTTTAAAGTTCCTGTTACTTCAGTAAGATCTTGCAGAGGAAAGAAGAGGGGTGGGCGGAAATTGCGTGCACAGCTGCAATCTCTTTTTTTTGGGATTGAACTCAATGTGCTTGCCAGGCAGGCGCTTACGCTGCTGAGCTAAATCCCCAGCCCCTACAGCTGCAATCTTGACCTGGAGGTGCTATTATACAATTTCAGTTGATGGAAATGTCTGTGTCCTAAATCAGTCTTGATTTGTACAGCTGATATAGATGTAGATACAGATAGAGATCTCAAAGTACCCCTTGATAAGATTTTGAATGTTTTTTAAACGTCCTAAAAATACAACCAATGTTGGCTCAGTTTCTGTTACTTTATTACTATTCTGGTTGAAAATGGGACAAACGTTAGAAGGCAGATGAATGTGGAGATACGGATTTTGGAACCCAAGATAAGACAAGTGATGATTTAGAAGATCCCTAATCTCCACGAGCTGTGGTTTCTTTGCATGCAAAAACAAAACGTGAATCTCTGCTTTGCTTGGCTTTTGTAAAGATAAGTGGGTCAATGTGAGTAAAAGTAACTGTTCAATGTGTTCTCGGCAATGTTAATTTTGTTACAATTCTCCATGTACCATTTTATACGCAATTCCAGAAATGAGCTTTGATGTTAGGTTAAGAAAAGGCAAAATAAATAAGGAATGAGGTTTGGTTTTTTTTTGTTTTTTTTTTTTTTAACCACCAACTTGGGGAAAAAATACACGTTAAATGTTGTCTGGAGATTCTTTCATGTTGCTTCACTCAGAAGAGTCCCTGTAGCTTTTTTTGCTAGGAGGTTAGATAAACAGGAATTCCTCGGGGAGTTGCACAGGTGGCTCTGCAGAGTCATTTACCTATTACAGGACACAGTCATTTCAGAATGGAAAAACAAAACACTTTACTGATGCAATGTGCCCAGGACCAAGGCAGTACAAAAAGAAGGTGGACGTATCTCACACCCACCAGGCCCATCCTGAGCTGGAGGCTGCCTGTCTGGCAACACCACTGCATTGCTTTTCTTCTGCTTCCTCTGTGTCTGCCATACTTTAAATAAACTTGCACTCTGCACCAACAGAAGAAAAAGAAAACAAGGTGGATAGATACATAAAAGAATGAAAGTGAAAAAGTAAAAAACTAAATTAGTTGGAAAAACTATTATTTGATTATTTTAGAAGATACAACAAAAATTTTTTAACATTGAGATAAAGGAGCTTGAAAAAGCAGTGTTATTTATTCACTACCAGTAAAGGTTATCTTAACTAGTAAAAGTTGTTTCTGCCTATCATGTCATTGATATTTGAAATGACTGATTAAACTACTCAAAGAGTAGGGATCACTTAAGTATGATGCACTTAATGTAACATCAGCCCTTTAAAAAGTTTGGATTATTTTGAAGCTATTAAAAATGAATAATTTGTGCCAATTTAAATTAAAGGGCCAGGGATATAGCTCAGTGACAAAGCCTGGCAAGTGCAAGGTCGTGAGTTCAATCCCTACTACCAAAATAAAATAAAATAAAAAGCATTTAAGTGCACATGCCACTACCACCAGCAATCACAGAGTATAAGAAATTCCTGAGAAAACAATATAATACTAGAAAATTGCAGGATTTAGAAAGAAAGCATTTCCAAAGTACAGATTTGATTTACAACCTGTGCCTAACTTTATTAAAAAGAACTGGAAGAAAACATTTCAAGTAAAACAGAGTAAGAATCATTTATTATTTATTATTAAATGTACTATATTTAGTAGACTTGCTAACAACTGCATAACAACTGCATAAAACTAACGTTTTTTACTAACTAAATTTCAGAGATATATATGCAACTTTGTATCCAGGAATTCCAATATCAGTACAAACCGAAGAAAGTTGGCTTCAAGATTTGTGTGATAAAAAAAATCACAGTGAGTAGCTTGATTTCCTAGCTTTTGGGGGGAGGGGGAGGGCTGGGATTGAGAATTAGAAATATCACAGGAGTGGAGGAGCAGTTGAGTTAGCTTTGAATCTTAGTTGCAGTGGTGATGTTGGGTAAGTTACTCAACCTCCCTGAGTCTCAGAGTGTTCATCTCTTAGTAATAATCATATTGTCACACTGTTGTTACGATGATCAAAATGAGATTAAGAAAACTTCCTTGGTATCTAATATTCAATAAATGGTAACGTTTATGCACACTAAAAATAATGTGCCATTATATTTTGATATATGTGTTTTTATTATAGAAGTTACATGTGCACATCATTCTCTAAAATATCAAACATTAGTAAATACAATAATATAAAAACAAACATTTTAATATATCCCCATATATTCCTCAAAAGTATCAGGACAAATAATTTTGCCTTTGAACTTTGATATTCAAGTTTTATACTATATCATTTATACATCAAGTCCTTTGAGCAAACCTCTGTTCTGGTGAACTAAATGTAAACAGAATGACGTGATCCCTGCCTCAGAGTGTGTGAGAGGGATAATTTACAAAATATATATGTAAGTATGTAATACACTAGATGATGTGAGTACTAAAAAAAATAGAGGAAATGGAAAGCTGCAAGCTTGCACAGGGTACCTCAGAGAAGCTGAGATACTTGAGCAAAAATCTAAAGGAGAGAGAGTGAGCCTTGACAAACCTGGGAAGGAAGTGTGTCAGGCAAAGAGGGCAGCAAGTGCCTCCTTTAAAACAAAGAGGTGCCTCGTATTGCTACAGTGGGCTAAGCAAGGAGGAGGGAGAATCCCAGGGGATAAGAGATAAGGAGCACTGAATCTCTTCCACTGGTAGTGGGGTGGGAAGTCCCTGGAGGACGTGTGCAGAGGAGTGATACTGTGGAACCTGGTAATCCTTTAGGCCAGAGTGCTCCATTGTGAACTCAGGGATAGGAGATGGAGACTGATAAAAAGGACCTTTCATATAGCAGAAAGTCTGGTAAACTCTCCTGGATGCCAAGAAAGCATCAAGGAGAAGGAAATGGTCATGGGGTCAACAGTAGTACTTAGGGTCAGAAAGATGCGAACTGAAAACTTGTCCCCAGCAGTATTTGGAGGTCACTGGCAGTGCTGACAGGACCTGCTTCAAAGTAATTGTGGGCGTGAAAACCTGATGGCACAGATTTAAGGGAGATTGAGAGAAGGGACTTGAAATAAATGTAGAATCATACCCCACATTCCCTTTTCATGGTTAAGCTTTTTGTGGTATAACCAATATGTTAAAATGGCCTAAGTTTTACACAGTCAAAAGACAATAATTTGTTTTGATCACTACCTTCAATTTCAGAGATTACCACTATTCTGTTACATGTCTTCCAAATAATTTTCTAACCTTTTACATTCATTTAGGAATTGTAGATGGGAGTTTAGCACTTTCAATTTTTTTCTCCTTGTTTATATAGATGGTGTCACACTGAATGTGTTGTTTCACTGGCTTTTTCACTTAATACTATCTCTTAGAAATTTTTCCAGGTCAGAGAATGCAGGATTTCCTCATTCTTGCTAATGGTTTTGGAATAGTATGTAGTATAGATGTGCAATTGTTTATTTAAAGGTTCCTTAACTGATATGTACAGTCATTTCCAGATTTGTACTTGCAGGATGTTTCAGTAAATCTTTTTGTCTACACATGCTAGTATTTCTCCAAGATAGGTGCCAAGAAAGTGTCGTTGTAGGGTAAAGAGTTACATGCTTTGATCATTGCCTTCCTAGAAAGTTGAGCCAATGTATGCTTCCAACAAGAGTTATTGAGATCACTCTTTCTTGTCTTTTTCAGTATTTGATATTGTCACTTTCTAAAATTTTTGACAGTCTGAAAGATAGAAACTCTATCACATCTTATTATTTTATATAATTATTATGGATAGGGCTCATAAAACAAAAACACGAGAAAATTTCAGTCTTCTTAGGGACGATCTAACTGGTCGTGATCAAAGTGATAGAATTATAGAGGATAAAAGTCTCAGCTAAAAAGATGAAGTCTCAGATGAAAATACAGAACGTGTTATCGGACAATGGAGAAAAAACTACCCTTGTTATTAAAGTGGCAAAGAACTTTGCAGAATTGTGCTTGTGTCCTGGTGTTCTGTGGAGAGCAGAACTTGTGAATGATGAAATGGGATGGTTGGTTTAAGAAATCTATAAACAGCCTATAATCCCAACACTGGGGAGCTGAGGGAGGAGGATCACAATGTCAGGGCCAGCTACACAGTGAATTCGAGGCCAGCCTGAACAACATAGCAAGACCCTATCTCAAAAAACAAAAACAAAACAAATGTATAAACACCAAAGGCTGAACGTGCTGTTTAGCCTCTTTTGAATGCTTATTCTACACTGTGAAAAGAGGAATGCCTTAAAAACAGAACAAATAAAAAGGAAGTAAACAAAATTTTGGGTATTCTCACTGTATGTATATTGGAAAGAGTGATAACGTTTGTTCAAGAAACCAGAAGGGTGGCCAAATTTGATTAGGTGATTAGCTTGGAAGGGCCATCTCAATCAACCAAGCTAGCTATTCAACAGTAAGTGCGGGGCTTAAATAGTCATCTAGACACAGACCAAGACTTACTGCCCAAGTCAGGTGAAGAAAACGCTGAAGGCAGTTTAGAGCTCATCAGGGCTGCACCTCCCAGCGCAGGCCCTGAGTAGAGGGCTGGGGGCAGAACAGTTTCAAGGCTCTTGGCTCCACATTCTGCCGCCTCGTTCCTCAGCTGCCCAGGTCAGGTCCAGCGGGCCCAGGTGTAAGGCAGGCCACAATCCCTGTGCCCTGAAGGTGCAGTGGTAAACTGCAGGGCTGTCCTCATGGTGCTGTCTCCACCAGCTTGCAGAGTACCCAAGCCGCGAGGGCGGCGGCTACCTCCGCCTAGAGCCACCTAGAACTGGGCTTCCTCATTCTAACAGAGAACTGCAGGGGCAAGGCCACCCCTGCAGGAGGCCTGAGAGTTGAGAACGCTTTCTCACGGGGCCGAGAAGACAAAACATGCAGCCAAAGCGCCCTGTTCTGTACCCTGTTGGGTTTCAGCCTTACGTAGGACCTGTTGTTACAGGCAGCAGAGCAAACATAGGAAGAAACGGCCCAAGGAGGCTCAGCAGGCAGTGTTTTACACCAGTGGGCTTCTGATCAGGATTTCTCCCAGAGTCAGAGCTGACGTTTCGGGGCTTTTAAAGGGAAAATGAGGAGGTACATAGGCAATCTGCGCATATGATTGGAGGGCTGGGTGACGCTGAAGGAGTTTGAACATTGCAGGTTTCATCATAAGGCAATCAGTTACACAAAGCATGGGTTATACAAAGGAAGAAATGTCCTGTTACATTTTAAGTTACATTGCAAGGCCATCAGTTACACAAGGGCAGCAAAGACAGGGGCTTACACAAAGGAAGACGCATTTTGTTGTCAGACCTGCCTGGCATACCTACTTGATTTTGGTGGGCATCCTGGGTAGGATTTGATTTTAAATTTTAATTTCCCCCCTTCACTGTTACTTCTTTTCTTTTCTCCATGTAGAATGAAACACCTCTCTTTATATCTGTCTCACCACATCTGATGTGATCAAAATATACAATGAATATTTAAATGGTTTAAAATTTATTACAACAAAAGGTATATTGATACAAATTCCTGCATGCTTCACACACATGTATCCCACTTGTGTTGCCAGTTTCTGAAGCGTTCTGAAAGTCCTCTCATGAGTGTTTCTATGAGGGCTGATCAAAAAAACCATGGTGAGTACTGCGGCCCAGTGCCACCTAACAAAAAGTCAAGCTTGTAAAAGAATATTATGGTGAGTGTTTCATCCCCATTGCCCACTGGGTCTGGCACCGTGTAACTGCTACCACTTCTCAAAGTCAAAATAATCATGAAAGGTAAACATTTTGAATCTACTCAGGACACTGAAGCAGCTACAACAGCATGTCTAAAGACAATCACCAAAGAGGATTTCCAGAACTGCATCAGAAAGTGATAAGGGCTGGGGATTTAGTTCAGCGGCATAAGCGCCTGCCTTATAAGCAGGCAGTCATGAGTTCAATCCCCGGTACCAATAAAAAGGAAAAAGACAAAAAAAAAAAAAAAGTGACAAGAATGATGTGATAAAGTGTGTTCATAGTGTGGAGAAGTATTATGAGGGAGGTATATTCAATGTATCTTTTACTGTAATAAATTTTAAAAATTTAAACACTCACTGTAATTTTTTTTATTGGTACCAGGATTGAACTCATGACTGCGCGCTTGCAAGGCAGGCACTTATACTGCTGAGCTAAATCCCCAGGCCCCACTCCCTGTATTTTCAGTCATACTTGGTATATGTTTGACTACACAGGTGAATAGCTAGAGAAAGGTTTGTCTCATGCATCATACCTTGAATCTCACCTATATCTGATATAGATGATAGCAATGAGACTTTGAACTTGAACTTCAAGGCTGATGGTGGAATGACTTAAGACTCCTAGGGTTATTGGGATAGGGTGAATGTGCTTTGCATGGGAGAAGGATATGATCCTTATGGAGCCAGGGAAAGAATGCTACAGTCTGACTGTGTTGCCTTGAAATTCATGTTTAAAAAAATCTAATCAGAAATGTGATGGTGGAAATGGGGCCTTTGGGAGGTTCACTGCCTATAACTGGACCCCATAGGCCAGTATCTTCCTATCTAAAAAATTCATATCAATAACAGACCTAAAGTAGACAGATGGCATTTAAATGAAGCAGAAAAGAAAAAGACATGCACACTATGATTATAAGGGCCAGGAATATAGCTCAGAGGTGCAGTACCTGCCTGGCAAGCATAAGGTCCTGAGTTTGATGCCCGGTACCCCCACACACAATACAAAGTATGATTATAAGTAAAATATTCACCCCTGTAGTCTCATAGGGATAGAAAGGAACAGATAAACATGTGATACATAGGTGGTAAGTTTCCTGTCTTTGTTACTTATTGTTGGGGGGTTTTTTTTTTTTTTGGTCTTTTTTGAGATGGGGTCTTGCTATGCAGTTCAGGCCAGCCTTAAGCTCACTTTATAGCCCAGGTTGGTCTCAAACTCGCAATGATCCTCCCACCTCAGCCTCTTTGAGTGCTGGGATTACAGGCGTGAGCCACCACGCCCGGCTTTGTTGCTTATTGTTAACACAGTTTTTTTTTTTGAGACCCCCTCAAAAAAAAAAACCTTAAAAGATAAATACAATACCTATTTTTCCCAGAGACAAATTTTCTTTTATGTTCAATTTATCTCTTCTTTGTCAGGGTTGATAATAAATGTACACTTTTTTCTTGTTTAAAGGAAACAAAATATTCTCTCAAGTCAAGGACGATAAACCTGAATGCCTGGCTTCAAAGCTAAGAGGTAAATGGTTGCTGGTGCCAGTCCCTTTTGCTGGCAAAAGACTATTATCATGCAGTGAAAGGTGGTGAAAATGAAGGGGCTCCGGGTGGTTAAATTGTGTGCCTAAAAGTGTATGTGTGTGCATGCATGTGTGTGTACGCGTGATTGTGAGATACAAGGATGGGGAAAGGGCCTCCAAACTAGAAAAAAATGAGTACACTGCACAAAGATTTTTAACTTCTAAACCTATCCTTTCCCTGCAGAAAAATGGGTAATTAATCCAGAAGAGACCAAACTGAGTATTTTATGTGAGCTGGAGGTAAGAAATGTTCACTATACCAACCTAGCAAGCACACTGTTCTCATGAAGAAAATAAAGCTTAGTCTGTAATTGTTTTCTTTCTCTTTCTCTTTTTTAAAATTCAGTTTAAAGATGACTTCATAACACTGTTTGAGCCTTCCCTAAGGACACTACCCAGCGTTGGGCCCCCGACCATTCTGGCCTACAGAGAAGAGCAGTTCGACTTAGACATTAACTTCAAGGTGATTTTAATTTATATTTTGATCGCTACTGGAAAACGACACAAAATGCCATAAAGTGAGAATGGTGAACATACTTTTTTTACAAGGCAAAGTGCAGGCATGGTAGTGCACACCTGTAATCCCTGCATTTAGGAGGCTGAGCAGGAAGAGGCCTGAGTTTGAGGCCAGCGTAGGCTACGTAGTAAGTTCAAGGCCAGCCTGGACTGCATAGCGAGAGTGTCTCAACAACACCCAAAAAAAGGCAAAGTGAACTTGGAAGAGGCCTTAGGATGGCTGTGTTTATTTGCTAGGGATGTTTTTAACCAAGTATCACAACAGAGTGGCTTAAAACAAAAGAAACTTCCTGTTTCCTAGTTGTGTAGACCAGAAGGTGTTGACTGAGTTGAGGCACAGGCAGGATCTGCCCTACAGGGGAGACTCCTTCCTTATTTGCTGCTGGCTTTTGTGGTGGGTGGAGTCCAGGTATTCCTGGCTCACAGCCGCCTGACTCCACTCTCCACCTCAGTTTTCAGTATTCTAATTCTTTGAATCCAAATGTCCTCCTTTTCTAAGATCTCAGTCATACTAGATTAAGATTCACCCCCAAACCCTCATCTTAACTTGATTACCTCTGCAAAGACTAAATAGCTACATTCACAGGAATCAAGAGTTAGAAGGGCACCATATCATTTTTTTTGTTTTTCTTTGTGGGGAGGGGAACACAATTCAACCCATAGCAGTAGCTACGAAGCCTGGAAACATAGGTGAATGTCTGCCATATTTAATTAAGTGATCAGTTAATGCCTATACTTGATGGCTGAGATAAAGGTTACTTCGATGATTCCAACAGGACAGTGCCTGCCCCACCACTCCGGAGTGGGGAAGAAATGATGGGTAGAATGATCATAACCCAGCCTGGGATGGAGCCTGTGGGCATGGAAGAGAATCGTGTACTCCCCAACTCTGAATTCCCTTGTTGACTCCTGGGGCACAGGAAGGGTACAGGGTTCTACCTTGACAAGAGGAAATGCGACGATGCAAAGCAGTGCACCACCGATGCATGTGCAGAGTGACGGACACGGTGTGCATGGTGTGTGACTCCACTTGTTGGTGCCCGATGCCATTGTGTGCAGCACTGAACTAGCTACACAGTATTAATGGGGGCACGCGTGAAAACACAGCACATGATGTAATGTCAGTGACTGCTGCCTGTGATGACCTGGGTTTCTAAACTCTGTGGTCACCCTCTAAATACTTCAGGCTTGAAATTCTTTACCTAAATGTATCACCTTCCTATCTCTGAACCACAGAGGCTGGCATCCAGAGAAGTCTCTGGAACTGGAATTACACTATCTTCCCAACAATCAAAGATGAACCTGGACACAAGAAAGGCTTTATGGCCTCTTCTTCAGGGCCACATTCCAGCGCTGGCACCTGGTCCTCCACCTGCTGGGCAGGCAGCCTTTGCAGCTCCAGTGTCACGTGTCTGGTCTAGTGTAGGGACTGCTCTCCTCTCTAGCCAGGCTTTTTTCAGGGCCAGACTCTAATCTCATCAGAGGTTTTCCTCTGATGCGATTAGATTTTGCACTGAAGCCTCTCCACTTTGCTGCAGCCCCAGGTAAAGAGATGCCGGGCTGAAGAATTCACTACCGAGTCCCTCGTGTGGCACAGGTTGTAGATGGTCTGTTATTGTCCGGCTTTCCATCTGCCCCACTCCATCATTTGATGGCTCTCCTGGGTTTTCACTATCAGCTCTCTACCGTGTGGCTCGTTCCAGGCATTTTGCATTTAGCAATAGCTAATACTCACTATGGGGGAAGTTTCAGTGGCCTGAAATTGATAGACATTACCTAGACAGAGAATTCCTGGCTGTACTATCTCACCGTTAGTCCCTGGTGGCATTTCTGCCTGTCTCCAATCCTGTTTTCATGGCAAATATAGATGCCCCGATAGTATTCACGATCTGCAGGTCACAATCTAAATCTTTTCCTGGAGGTGTATGCTGATGCTTGCCTGCCTGAGAGATTCTGCAGTCACAAACATGACCTCAGGTGGCTGATGTGGCCGTAGCATGCCAACTCCTCATGGAATTATGTGAGCCTCTGCTGTATTTCCCCCCAAATAAGACCTAACTGGAAAATAAAACTTAACATGATTTTTCAGGATGTTCATAACATAAACCCTATCAAAATAACCCCAATTAAGATTATCAGGCAGATGGATGTATTTATTACATCTGTTGTAACACACAATGGACATAGTGAATTATAAAATGATAATATATAATTAAATGTGAATAAATGTTATTATGTTAATACATAAATGATACCTAAATAAGCACCTGGAAAGGTTACTACCTATCTAAACAGAGGAACTAGAGATTTACTACCAAATGACCAACCAGAGTACAGACACAATGTACAAATACCATGTTCACAGGCTACATGGACAAGAAGTGCTCATTTGAGGAGGGTTCTGTTGCTAGACATGAGAGATTGGGGCCTGTTATGGCTTGTCTCTAGATGCCCCCCAAAGCCTAATGCAGTTGGAAGGGAGGCTTTTCAGAGGTGGCTGGCTCTGGAGGGTGTGATACTGGGATCAAGGGTATGTGGTTAGTGAATCAGTCCACTGATTGTTTTGGCATAGTTCTGGCTAGAGTTAAGAGTGTGAGTGCTACACCCACCCTAGCACAGGTAACCTGCATAAAATATAAGGGAAAGAAAGAGCCCATTGTGCTTTCACCTGCCTGCTTGCTCCATACTATTTCTCCTCTGTGATGCCCCTCTGCCATGCTGCCCTGCCTTGGAGACAGCTGATAATGGACCGAAACTTCTACAGCTGTGAGTTAAATAAACCTTTCTTCCTTTAACTTTGAATGTCAGCTATTTTATGTCAGCAATGAGGAAAAGTTAAGGCCAATCGTTCTACAGGAAATGGAGTCACCAGAAATTCAGGATTTAGGGAGTTATGATGATGTTCCAGGTAACATAACTGTATTTGAATAAACATAGATTTTGTACATAAATAAAAGCACATTGTTGTACATGAAAAAAGTAAGACATCTCCTGAAAATAAGCCCTCTTGTGTCTTTTGAAGCAAAAACTGATATGAGACCTGGTCCTATTCTGGGGAGATATTTAATAATTCTATCTCCCCTGTTTGGTTCCCCACAGCACCTGAATTTCCCTCACAGCACAAATAGGATTCAGAGATCCAACATGAAGCTTCCCTTGAGAAGGGATTTTCATTGATTTCTGAAAGCTGATGGTTGCTTATGGTGACCTATACAGTAATGTCAAGACTTTTTCCAACCTAGCACTTATTGAAGCAGTTAATGGTATTCAAACACTTAAGAGCCTTTTCATAAACTTGAATGTATTAGCCTGGTCTCTTGCATGTAGCTACATCCTGTACATCCTCTACCCTCAAGGACTGTAGTGTCAGCAGTCATTTCTGCTAGTTTCTGCTTATGTCAAAGATTTGTTGTTGTTGTTACTGGGAACTGAACACAGGAGCTTGTGCTTGCCAGGCAGGCACTTATGCCACCGAGCTATATCTCTGGCCCTATGCCGAAGACTTGCACAGCTCCTGAGAGACCTGGTTGTACTCTAGTGAGTGGTAGCAGCCATGACCCTCAAAAGTGCACCCCACGCTTCCCAATCTTCACCAGCTCTTGAATGGAAGTGATGTCAATACTGAAACGAACATCTTAGCCAGGCGTGCTGGCTCACGCCTGTAATCCCAGCACTTGGGAAACTGAGGCAGGAAGATCATTGCAAATTCAAGACCAGCCTGGGCTACAAAGTGAGTTCAAGGCCAGCCCGAACTGCATAGCAAGACCCTGTCTCAAAAAGACAGGAAAAAAAAAAGGAAGAAAGAAAAAAAAAAAAGTACCAGTAAAATAAATTTTAAAAAATATAAATAAATAAATTTAAAAAACAAATATCTTACTGGCTCGTTCCTTCTAGTACAGCATCCCAGCACCTTGGAAATTCTCCACCAAGTATTCTGGGACCCCTCGGGGTCTCACAGGAGTCATCAGATAAGGTTGCCTAGCTCCTTTCACCTCTGCTGTCCCAATGGACACTCTCTAGTCTGCCCAGGCCCTTGCGCCAGCTGCTCTCAGAGTTGCTGGGCCTCAGTATGCACTTCATATCTCTCTCTCAAGGATGAAGAGGAGGAGCTATCACCCACATGTGAATTTTGTGGAAGCAGTCTCCAGGCATTTCTTTCTAGTGTGGATTCCATTTACTCTGAAACAGAAGTACATGTAAGTTCTAAAACAGGTTGGCTGAGGAAACAGTGTTATTTTTAACACTCCTCCTGTAGTATTTTGTCTTCTTTCCTATAAAATTTCATTCTTAAAACAGAAATACAATTCACAACCACAATGGCAAATCCATTCACATTCACATTCACATTCACTAGAATGATGCTAATTTTAAAAGACTGATAATAACAAGTGGCACATGCCCACAATCCCAGCACTTGGGAGACTGAGGCAAGACGATCATTGCAAATTCACGACCAGCCTGGGCTACAAAGTGAGTTCAAGGCAAAGATGTAAGGAAATTACAACTTACATTAGTTGTAATATGAGTTAAGGGGGAATAGAAAATGGTGAAAACTGCCAGGCAGTTCCTTAAAATGTTAAACATAGTCACCATATGACCTAGTTATTCCATTACTAAGGTTATACCTATGAAAATGGATAATATATGTCCACATAAAAACTTGCACACACAAGGGCTGGGGGTTTAGCTTAAAAAAAAAAAAAAAAAGCAAAGCAGCATGATTTTTTTTTTGGTACCAGGAATCAAAATCATGACCTCACACTTGCCGGGCAAGTGCTTGTGCCGGCTAAGCTAAATCCCCGACCCAGCAGCATGATTCTTAATAGATAAAAATAGTGACACCCAATTATCTATCTGCTGACAAATGAATAAAATGAGGTATAACCACACAATGACATATCATCAGCCAGAAAAGATGTCCTGAAGTGTGCCATGATATAGATGAGCCCTGAACACATGATGTTAAGTGAAAGAAGCCGATTATAAAGCATCACATGTGCGTGGTTCCATGGATATGAGCTGTTAAGAACAGGCAAATGGAGAGAAACAGAAAGTAGACTAACAGTTTCCTAAGCTGGGCGGAGGGGAAGTGACTGCTAATGGGTCATAGCTAACGCTGACTGCACCTGTGATAGCTGCACAGCTCTCAGTGTACTAAACTGGAAAAGGTAATTAAATTATACCTTTTAAATGAATGAATGACATAGTATGTGAATTACAGCTTAATATAGCTTCAGAGAGAAAAACAGAGCTACGGCAGACTGTTATACAAACCCTATTAGCTGTTTTGGTTTCTGTCTCCTCTAATCATCTTCATCTAGGGCTGATGAGATGAAAATGATGTCTTTGTGTTTTCAGACTTCCTGTTGTCCTCAGTTCCAAAATCTGATTGACTACATCTGTGAAGAAAAACAAAAAGTCAAAAGCGCAAAGCCTGAATTAATCAGTATTAAGCCTCATGAGGCCCATGGGAACGAAATTGATAGAATCAAGGCAAAAGAAAAAGCCCTGCGGAGGTAACGTTGAGCCTTAGATATTGGAGCTCAGATAGGCCAACATAATTGGAAATCACCAGTTCAAGCCCAGCCTGGGCAACTCAGTGACTCAAAAGTTTAAAAATGAAAAAGGGTTGGAGATATTTGTCAGTGTGAAGGCCCTGGATTTAATCCTCAATACTGGGTGGGGGAACCTTTTTTGTTATTTTGTTTTTCATTTTCTGAGATAGGTCTCCCTATGTCCCCTTTTTTTTTTCTTTTTAAGAGATAACTGAAAATTGGACAAAGCAAACACGAAAGCCTATTATACTTTCTGATGGGTGTCATGAGATTCAAAAGTTCCCAGAAAATAGAGTGAACTCATTGATTTTTTTTTTCTTTTTTATTGGTACCAGGGATCGAACTCACGACTGCCTACTTGCAAGGCAGGCACTTATGCCACTGAGCTAAATCCCCAGCCACTGACTTTTAGTAGAATCTGCTAATCCCAAATTATTGGGGAAATTCAAGATTCCTATTGTGGAGAAATTTACCCATTAAATAGCATAGATACCCACACACATGCTCTGATTAAAAGCCTGCTTTCATAACTAGTAACAGACTAAGATAACACGGAGCAGCATTTGAACAGTTGAAATTTGTAGTATACTGTTTAAGCTTCAACCACATTTCCGATTTCTGCACGATGTTTCTGATTTTGTAGAAAACAGGAGCGACAAATTGCCAGGCACTTTCCTACAGTACGAAGTGAACAGACAAATTTTCCTGCAGGTGAGTCCATCGACACTACCATCATAAACCAGTTGTACAACGTAAGAAAACTCGGGTGTTTGATAAAAGATGAAACTAGTGTATTTTAAAGTACTATTGAGGCCTGGGGATTTAGCTCAGTGGTATAAGCACCTACCTGGCAAGCATGAGGTCATGCGTTTGACCCCTGGTACCAAGAAAACAAAACAAAGTAATATTAAAAATTTTCATTTCTGAGTAACGTAGAATGTGTCAGTTAAAATGGCTCAAAAAATCTGATGTTTCAGCTGTCTGGCTTTTGGTGTTCTGAGTTTACATCTTACTGTTGTTATGGATTGAAGTACATTAGCAATATTTACAGAGCACTTTTAGACCAGCAGCCAGGAGCTTTCAAATTGACTGTCTCTTGTTTTATGAGGTGCATACTCCATTTTGTTTTGAAGCTTGAGTATGGAGTGTCTGTCAGAAATAAATCACATTACTTTCTTCACATATTGGCTGTGCCCATCCACTGGCCAATATAGCTGTAGCACTGATGAAGATTACTTACCCTTGATTTTAGAATGAGAAGTCCTGGATTTATAGCCTTGCTTTTCTCCTTATAGGCTATCTGATTCTGGATCAGTGACTTAATATTTCTGAGCATCAGGCTCTTTCTCTTTAGAGGAAGATATTTTTATATCGTCCTCAATGCTGTGTAATATTTCTTGATATTCAACTGTTTTGACTAAAACAAAAGGCTGAAAAATTGCGACTTTCTTTTCAAATAAAGCAGTATGTTTATTTTTTCTAACAAAAGTAGTTCCTGTCTAACTTAATAAAGGCCCTCATTTGACTTTCTTTAAAAAAAAAAAAGGCTTAGCCAGGTATGATGGTGCACACCTGTAATTCCAGTACCTGGGAGGCTGAGGCAGGAGGATTGATTCAAGTATGAGGCCTACCAGGCTACATAGTGGGTTCAAGGCCAGTCTGGACTATAATGTAAGACCCTATCTCAAAAATAAAATAAAATAAAATAAAAATCTAATAACTCAAAGCATTTGTAATGGGGCTTGAATTTTATTTTAGAAGATTGGCTTCATAAAATCTAAGATATTTCTGTGACCTTTTTCTTATTAGATGTAAAGAATTCGAGAACTATTTCTTATCAACTTGCGGTGGATATTCCAGAAAAAAAGCCATCTTGTAAAGAACCGTTCTATTTCCAACTAATAAAGAGTAACACCTCCATTGTTTGCTGTGATTCGATGAAAGCAGGTGGAAAGGTAGCTCGCTTGTAATTTTTTATTTGCTCTTTTACAAAAATCAGTTTTACCTGAAATTTCAAAAGCTCAACCACATTTAACTATTTGGCATTTCAATTTGTACTAGCCTTTGAAATAATGTCTTCCAGATGTTTAGGATAAAACCTTTTATCTTCACATATGATAGTTACACCTTAAAGAACATTTGGAACCCTTAGAAAATTAGAAAGAAGGGGAGGAAATCACCAAATATCTAAACCATTTTTCTGAAGATATTAATATTTTGATATATTGTAGACTTGCACCAGATGGTAGCACTATTCCATGTGTCTATTTAAATTTAAAAGAAGTACAATGTAAAATAGAATTCATCAGTCACATCAGGCACATGGTGAGCCCTGCACAGGCGTGTGTCACTTCTAGCTGTCTTGCTGTAGAGCAGATACAGAACACTCTTTTTGTCTCAAACATTCTATTAGGAAGCACAATCCTAGACCTTTTCCTTGCATCCTTGTGCTCATTTTTAACATCCTTATACTCATATTATATATACAATCTTCTCTTTCTAAACATACTCTTAAAATTGTATTTTCTATACTACATGTTACATTATTTTAATACCTATGTAATGTTTCTTATATTTTACTATTTCCAGGAGAAGACATAGATTGATGTCTAATACTGATTTTTTTCTATGCTAAATAGCATTGCTTTGAATAGCGTTGTGTGTGTTTGTATCTAAGTAAGTTTCTCAGAACAAATTCCCAGAAATTAAATTACTGAGACCAGTTTGTTTCTCCCGGGTGATGCAGAATCTCAGGGGTAGCAATAATCTTACTCAAGCACGTTTTCTCTCTACACCCCTCCTCCCCACTCAGGTATTGAAAATTGAACCCAGGGCCTTTGCACTGAGCTACATTCAAAACTCATTTTTTAAAAAAAATTTTTTGCGATGAGATCTAGCTAAATTTAACTTGTGATTTTCTTCCTTCTACCTCCGAGTATGCTGGAATTACAGGCTGTGCCTCCACATTCAGCTCAGACACGTTACTTTTTAAGTTCAGTTATCAGAACGTAGTGAAAAATAACAAAAACACAAGGAAGTTTAACACCATAACTGAAAACCTAGAGGAATAATATCTAATAGGAAATTGAAAGTAATCTAGCATGTTTATGGCAGCAAAAGATTAGCTTGAAAATATGTAAAGGAAATAGAAAAAATGTCATATTAGATTTGAAATGAAAAAATAAACATATAAAAATGAAAATTATAATTGAAATAAAAATCTAAAAGATAGTAATAAAAGTAGCTTAGACTCAACTAAAGAGAGAACTACAGCCTGGAAGAAACAGTTTTAAAATTTTTAAAAGATAAGGTACATGGAAGAGAGTATATGATGCAAAGGTCTAAAATATATTTATTCAAAATACATAAACAGTAGAGGAGCCGGACTTTAGCTCAGCAGCATAAGCGCCTGCCTGGCAAGCGGTCAGTCCTGAGTTCGATCCCCAGTACAAAAAAAAGAGTACAGGAAAGATGATCAGAGAGAGGTAATATTTTTTTTTTCTTTTTCTTTTTTTGGTACCAGGGATCAAAATCATGACTGCGGGCTTGCCAGGCAGGCACTTATGCCACTGAGCTAAATCCCCAGCCCCTACAGAGGTAATATTTAAAGAAATAAGGGATGCTAGTTTTCGGGATCTGATGAAAGAGATCAACCTACATATTTAAGAAGTCCAGCTACACAAATGATTCTTGAGGATGAGAGTTTAGGTTGGTGGTACAGGGCTGGCCTCACTGCAGGTCCTGGGTTTGATCCCCAGCAACACACATACACACACACATGTGCACACACACAGGTGCACTCACGCCAAGGATGTCATAGTGAAACTGTAGACAGCCAAAGACAAAAAAATAAAATTGTAAGAGCAGTAGTGGGGGAAAAAACTCACTGCACATTTGTTTATTTATTTATTTAATGCTTTTTTGAAATAGTGTTTCACTATGCAGTTCAGGCTAGCTTTGAACTCACTTTGTAGACCAGGCCGGCCTCCAACTTGCAGTGATCCTCCTGCCTCAGCCTCCCAAGTTGCCACCAGTTCACTCAACATTTAAAGGAGAACAATTAGACTAGCAGATGACCTCACAATAGCGATCAATAATAGAAGCTAGAAGGAAGTGGAATGATTTCCATATGGTAATGGAAAATAAATGGCAGTGCAGAATTCTACATCCAATTAGGATTTATTACAGGAAAGTGTGCCAACAAAAACAAAGCTATGCAGCTTTTCACTAATGGAATTCTAAAGAATGTTCTTTGCTAGCTGCATAGTCTGAGATTCAAGAAAAATGAAGAGCAAAGAAAGTGATATGATGCATAGATAAAACTCAAATGGCTGATAATGCAGGAACACCAGCTTGTGCAGTCTCAAAAGACAGAATAAAAAATTCAGTACAACAATAGGACAATTGTGAAGAGTGCTAGATGCGATTGTAGTTGTTTCTCAGTATCTGTGGGGGTTGGTCCGAGGCCCCTGTGGATGCTTAAGTCTCTTATTTTAAAAAATGATATAGAAAGGTTGGGTATCTCTTGGCATTTGGATTTTGAATTATTGTATTTGGAAACATTTGCATATATAATTAGATATGGGATGGGAACCATGTCAAACATGAAATTTATTTATGTTTCTTATACACATAACATGTGCTGTGTGACTAATTCATCACATAAGGTCAGGTGTGGTGTTGTTCACTTGTCCATCATGTTGATGCTCAGAGTTTCAAATTTTGGAGCATTTCAGACTGCAGACTAGATCAAGGATTTTCAACCTGTACTTGCACATAGCCTATGAATATCTTGCTGAATACTTTAGATCATGTCTAGATTATATCTAATACCTACTGCAGTGTAAATGCCATATAAATAGTTGTTTTAATGTATTGTTTAGTTAATAAGGATAAGAAAAATGTAGCTACAGTACAGATACAATTTAAAAAAAAATTTTCAAAATGAAATTGATTGAATCCAAGGATGAAGAACCCACAGATTCAGAGTCAATTATCGTGTCCTAAAGTCCTTGATTCAGGAGAAGGGAAAAAAATTAGCTTCAGGCTTTGATAAATTTTCCTTTTGTGTTATAAAGGCAGATGTCTTGCGCTCAGGGAAACTGATTTGGGGATGGCAATGTGCAATGTATGTACCATTGATGTCCCCTAATTGTTGTGTTTAGAATTTTTTTTCTCTTTGAAACAAAATTGATTTGAAAAAAATTTTTTCTTGTTGAAATTCCTAGACTGCTTGAAAAATAATAGAACAGAAGATAAAACTTTAAAACAAAAACAGGTGAAACAAAAGAAAAAAAAGAGAATTTTTTTTTTTAAATCTCCATTTTGCTCAGTGGCATAAGCGCCTGCCTGGCAAGTGCAAGGTCATGAATATGATCCCCAGTACCAAAAAAAAAAAAAAAAAAAAAAAAAAAAAAAATCTCCAAATGACAAAAAAAAAATGAGGGAAAAATAATAAAAGGATGAGCAGAAAGCATCAAGGGTTGGCATTAATTATATATAAATAAATGAATGTGCCAGTTAACAGACAAAACTATCAGAATGGATATTTTAAAATCTATAATAGATATAACACAAAAAGATTAACTACAAATACTACAAAGAGTAAATTTTAAATAAATAAAATTATATATCATGAAACACTAATACCTTTAATTAATATCAGATACTGACTGAGATGCATATTGTTTTATATGTTGACATAAAAAAGCAAGATATTAAAAATACACAATGGATAATTCTATTTATGTAAGGTATTTAAAGACAAACATTATAGGGTCTAGAAATGATAAGAGTACAAACAAAAGCAAAAGAGTTAATGTAAGATCCGATTACCAGCGGAAAGGAGGGGCCTGGATGAGGCTTCAGGAGGATCTGCATTGTTCCGTACCCCCCCACACACACACACACACAGTTATGCTGGTGTTTGCTTTTTCATTACTCATTATTCACTACCGAAACGGCATGCTTTAACGCTTGACTGATGAATTCCAGATTACATAATTTTTTTTGTCTTACTGAGACAGAGTCTCACTATGCAGTTCAGGCTGGCCCTGAGCTCACTTTGTAGCCCAGGCTGGTCTCGAACTCGCAACAATCCTCCTGCCTCAGCCTCCTGTCTGCTGAGATTATACATTTCATAGTTTTTAAATTGTGGGACAATATTTTTTTAAAAAGGGAAATATTTATGTGAAGCCTTAGCTTGTTTTCTTGTTTAGCCCTAGGAATAAATTTTTATATTCACTTCAGTACAATTCATAGAGTTAAACTGAATGTTCAGTTCATGCGAAACTCATTTCGACACCGAGATTTCCATGTAACACAGTTAAACTTGGAGACAGAGTAAAGAGCATCTTCCTACAGGTCTCCCTTACCATCCTGCACTCCGCTGGTGCTGTGCTCAGACGAACTTCAGGAGCGACCTTGAAGAGACATCAGCTGCTGTGGCTTATATAGGAATATTTTTTTCCTTTTTAAAGTCATCGTTTTACTGAAGTAAAATTTATGTATAGTAATAGTCACCATTTAAGTGTTTGGGTCTAAGAGTTCTGATCATCACTGCAATAAGGATGTTGAAAGAGGCAAGTAGAAAACATCAAGGATTGGCAGTAATTATTTAAGCTGTTACTGCACTGGGAAAAGCTTTTGTCTTCCTTTGTTTTTACAGTAATGTGTGCATAAAGTAAAGAATAAATATGTGAAGCCGATATGCAATATCCAAAGACATGTAATGTCAAAATTGCACCAGCAAGGATTTATCAATTACACTGCTGCGGCTGGACCTGCTGTCAGTGATCTCCCCACTCTGGGAGGTCGAGACAGGAAGATCCAAAGTTTAAACCCAACTTGGGTAATTTAACAAATTGCAAGATCTTGTCTCTAAGCGAGAAAAGGTTATACTTTAAGAGTTAGGAAGAATCTCTAGATGATTACTAAAGACATAGCACTTAGAGGAAGAAAATTGTCTTAATACCATCTTCCAACCAACTGATGCCCACTGTGGTATTCTGCTCATATAGTTAATGCTTTAGGTCTGAAAGCACTAACCGTAGATGTCCTGTTCCTTTCTTTAATGTAGATTGTGAGGAATGAGCTCTTTGAGAAGCATTACAAGAATGGAATCAAGTTTCTGACTTCATTTCCAGACGGGACAACACAAATATTGTATCCTTTCTTTCAGCAAGTTGTTTTTATTGGCTTTATTTGCTCAGAAAGAAAAAGATAGAAATAGTAAAAACCAAAAAATACAGATGAATAATTTCCTAAAATTCTACCCCTTAGAAAAACTGGTAAATTTTTAGTTGTAAGCATATACATAGTTCTTTTTTTTTTTTTTTTTTTTTTTTGTCTTTTTAAGTCAGGGTCTTGCTATGCAGTTCAGGCTGGCCTTGAGCTTACTCTGTAGCCGAGGCTGGTCTCGAATTCGCAACAATCCTCCTGCCTCAGCCTCCCGAGTGCTGGGACTACAGGCGTGAGCCACCACACCCAGCAGCATATACATAGTTCTTTTAAATCAATTCTTTGTAGTATTTTACAACTGGCTCCTTTATATTATGCACCTATAATAAATAATACTGTGATGCTGAGTGTGTTAGCACATGCCTGTAATCACAGCACTCGGGAGGCTGAAGCAAGAGAATCATTGTGAGTTCGAGACCAACCTGGGCTACAAAGTGAAATCAAGGTCACCCTGAACTGCACAGTGAGACCCTGTCCTCAAAAAGACAAAAAACTAAAAAAAATTTTTTTTGAATTAAAAATTTTTTAGACAATAAATAAGGTTATGAATATGTAATAAGCACCATTGTTATAACCACACAGTATTTCACCTACTTTCTATTACCAAACAAAGGTAGTACCACAATTTTTGTATTTTATACATCAGCTAAGAAGACGACTTTGTCCATAGTCTATCACATACTTATTTATTTCCTTGAATAAAATGCCTAGAAGTATCCCTGGTACCAAAAAACAAAATGCCTAGAAGTAACAAATTTGGATGTTTTAATGTCTTGATAGACTCCTCCAAATATGTACTAGTTTCCACATCCAATGGGTACCCTGTTGTTTTTAATAGCAAAATTCAATATTCATGTAATTGGAACACAGAGTTTATTGATCATTTGGAATTCTGCCTGATAGCCAGGACAATTGATATTTGAACACAAAGCTTCATAATATCTCTAGAAAGTTTTTTTTAATGGAGAGATTTTTTTTCATGAACTGATTCTCCATTTACAGAAAATAATCATTTGTAGTCATAGTTTCTTAAATGTTTAATCAAACCCAATAAACCAGAAAAATGGCTCTCATGACCAGAGGACGCATAATGAAGTTTACTCCTTGCCACTCTGTGAGAAAAAGCGTAGTTTGTTTTAATTGTACCAAATTTCAAAGAACTTACTGAACTTTCATTATTAGTTATACTTGATGCCCTGACATTAATTCTTAACTCTCTTGAAGGATGTGGTTGAGTTCCAAAATGACTCAGAGTGAATCTTGATTTATCTCTCAACTTTCTGATCAGCCCTGACATGGATCTAGTATTAACAGTGAATTATCCTCAATATATTTCTTTTTTTAATGCTATTGTAAATGTTTTGGATTTTTTAATTTCATTTTCATAATTTTCACTGCTCGTGCATAGAAATAAAATTTATTTTATAGCCTATAATCCTACTGAACTCATTGATCAGTTTTAATACTTTGTTTTGTGAATTCTTTAAGCTTTTTATGTATAAGAGCATATCATCTGCAAATTCAGTTTTACTTCTCTTTCCAATCTAGATACCGTTCGTTTTCTTTTCTTTCCTAAACTTCCATGGATAGAACTTCCAATCCAATATAGAATGTAAGTAGGGCGAGCAGACATCCTTGTCTCGCATTGATCTTAGGGGGAGAGCACTTAAGATTATAACACTAAGTACAGTTTTAGCTGTGGGGTTTTTGTAGGTTCCCTTGATCAGGTTGAGGCTGTTTCCTTCCTTGACTGAATGATTCCCTTGGAAGCATGGGGACATTTCTGTCTTTTGTGACCCATGTTTCAGCTCAGTGCACAATGACTGACTTTTGTCCCCTAGTGTCCAAGTCTCCCTGCTTGGGAGACTGGTGACTTAGCAGGATTGTATGATTCTTTTACAGAGGTTCCATCATGCCATGAGTCTTGGCTAACCACAGAGGGCAAAGACCAAAGTATTGGCTGTTTTTTTAGTCCAGTTATTTTGCTTATCTTTGGTCTGTAAGCCTCAGTTGTTGAACAACCAGCAGGTCAGCTGCACCTGTCTTGAAGGGAGAACAGTAGGCTTTAACTGCTATAATCCTATCAAATACTGGGCAGTTTGAATTATAAAACATGACTAGAAAGCAGGTACCTCTTTTATTTATCATAGTCAGCACTGTATTAGGAGTCAGTATCATATTTTATCTGTCCTGCAAGTGATGGACTACCTTCTGTTTTTTTTTTTTTTTTCTTAAGCTTTTGGAGACAGGGTCTATCTGGCCTCGAACACATGGCAGTCCTCTTGCCTCAGTCTCCCGAGTGCTGTGATTATCGACAGGTAACTGCCAGGCTTGGCCTATCATCTTGGTACTAGGGATTAAACCTATGACCTTGTGCCTTCCCAGGAAGGCGCTTGTGCCACTGGGAAGCTAAATCCCTGGCCTTTGGCCTACCATCTTAACATACTGCTTAGGCTGTCTTTTAGAGGTCACAGTTTTGTAGAATGCTAACTGATATTAGTACAGTTTTACAAGGAAATTTTAAAGTTAAGAGCAAACAACATTTTAGAATAACTATGATGATGAGAACCACTGGGTTCGTTTTATTTTCTCTAAAACTATCTTTAATTTTTAATTTTAGTATAAAATAACATTAATAAAAGGTTACCCTTATGTTTGAAGTCTGTAAGCCTTCTTACCAAGAAAAGGTGTTGAAGTATGTTGTCTTATTTTTTTCTTGTTGCTGAGACAAAATACCAGACAACTAAAATTAAGGAAGAAGAGATTTGTTTTGCTCACGGTTTGTGGAGGGTTCAGTCTGTAATTAGCTGGCTCCAAGGCCGGTTGGCATAGCTCAGGGCAGCAGTTCAAGATGGCAGAAGACAACAAAAGCAGCAAGAGCAAAAGGCGGGAGAGCAAGGCTCTTTTTTTCATAATTCTACACAGGCCACCCCTCCCACACAAGTGGGTCTCTGTTCCCTCGTCTTCCAAGTATTAGAATGTTTACAAAGTGTAAACCCTGACCCCCTGCTGAGTTACCTTGTTAAACTTCTAAACTCAAGTTGACACAATGTATCAACCATTACCTATGTCAAATGCTTTGTGCCAGTTGAGATAATTGTGGGTTTTGCTCTTTATTCTTTAAGTGTGGCAGACCACAGTGATTAATTTTCAAATATTAAACTTACCTTGCATTCCTAGGATAAATCCCATTTCGTCATAGTCCACAATCTTTTTAATGTATTTCTAGATTATTTTGCTATTACTTTATTGAAGAGTTTTATATCTCACAATTATATGTTGAGTGCCGTGAAAATTATAGGGTCCGTTTGTATGAACAGTAACCCCATTTTCAGAATGCTTTAGAATTTAAGTGAACTCTCATACATTAAATTTCTTCTCAGGATAGTCAAGGATCACTACAACAACTCATATGACCTTATCTGATCTCAGCTATCCATCCGGAAATCTAGCCATCATCCAGGTGCCCAACAAGGTAAATGGTTTTGTTTGCATTGTCCAGGAAGACACAGCCACCAACCCTGCCATCCTGGCAGTTCTAGATTCCTCTGGCCGAAGTTTCTGCTACCATCCCAATGGCAATGTCTGGTGAGCTTTTAAGTTTCTTCCATTGCCAATATAGTGTTTTTGGTTTTGTGGTCTTTTCATTTCTTTTCTTTTTCTATTTTGTGGTGCTGAGGATGGAAGCCTGGCCTCTCACATGCTACGCAAGCACTCTACCTCTGAGTTATGGATTAGCTTGTTATTTTCCTTAGAAATAAGAAAGGCTTTGAGGTTAGTGGTCTTTATATAGGAAGAGGGGCCAGAGATATGGCTCAGTGGCATAGTGCCTGCCTACAAGCTTGAGGTCATGAGTTTGACTCCCAATTAAAAAAAAAAATGTTCTTTGTATAGTAAGATTCAATTCAGATGTTTTTAGTGTATGCAATTCCATATGTTTCTCAATGGAAAAATCCTAAACAAATATAGTAAACAAAGCTCATCGTATTCTGTTTATAAACAATAAGAAATCTTAACTATACCATGTGGTCAATCTAGGGATTTGGAATACACACCCAGGCAGTCTCAGAAGCTGTGCCCTGATGGTGTCTTACTACTTCATTATGGAAATGATTTGTCAATGGACAGTTACTATACTTGTTGCTGATGACTGAGATGTATTCCTGATTGGTATGCATTCTGTAGCTACAACAAATATCAATAACATACAAAACGAACCTCCAAAGAAATAAAGATCCCTCTCAGGAGGATGAGGAAGGAGAATTGTGAGTTTAAGGCCAGACCAGGCTACAGAGCAAATTCAGGGCCTAGATTACATAGCAAGATCCTGACTCAAAAAAATCAAAGGAAAGAAGGGAGAGGAGGGAGAGAGAATAAAGGAAGGAAGGATGGAAGGAATCCAAGTCCCATTTTGATCTACTAATATATATATTCTAAAGCTTTATATTTTTTATTCAGCCTGATAAAGTGAAATTTGAGTTTTAAATCCAAATATAATTTGAAGTTTTTGTGGGGCCAGGCATGGTGGCACACGCCTGTAATCCCAGCACTTGGGGAATGAGGCAGGAGGATCACAGCAAGTTCAAGGCCAGCCTTGGCTACACAAGGAGACTCTGTCTCAAAAAAGGTGAGGGTCAGGGATATAACTCAGAGGTACAGCACCTGCCTACAAAGCCCAAGGTCCTGAGTTTGATTCCTGGTACCAAAAAAAAAAGCTTTTTGAGCTTTCATGAATAAATATTTTATATTTTTAAATTATTTATAGATATAACAATTTCAGGAACCTTTGCCAATAATTGGAAAAGTTTGGACACCAATGCTTGAGAAAGTTGGGCCACAGTGAGCTATTTGTTTTTAATCCAAATCAGTAGTCAATCCATACCACCATGTACACTGGAAATTTTGTACTTATCTTTCAGGATTCAATAGTAATTTTACCTTACATTTTGTGGCGTGCTATAATTGTTAGCCATATGAATTAGTTTGGAGTAGAGACCAGTTGATTTCATGGAGTCACTGACTCACAAACTGAACTTCTGGGCACTCTTTCCTTGATATTCCCTCTATCCTGTGTAGCACGTCCATTTCTCTTTTGGTGGACTTATGATTCTTGAATGAATACCCGATTCTTTGCAATTCCATAGCAAACTACCAATATATGGTAGAGATTCAAAGAATGCTTATGAAATAAATAAAGGATTGAGCTTTCCAGATAATCTTAGCCAAATATTATTAATTTTCACTCACATGTCAAGATAAAACCAAATCCAGTGAGATAATCACCACAGTTTTTCATTCATGCTTTTGCTATTAGATTCCCACCACTAAACAATACTGGGGAAAGAAGATATTAGTTATCATCTCTCAGGCAATTCATAATAGTTGTTTTAAAATATGATTCATTATCACAGTAAGCCTACTTTCTAAGTATTCAGAACTCTCCTCAGGTGGGGATGATGATCTCAGCTGGAAGAAGATAAGATTACAGAAGGAGATAACTGAGTTAAATGGCGTGGTGATCAACGGCACAAGCTCTTAGCCTGTGCGTGGCAGGTGTCTGTATGTCGTGTGGTAAACATGGGGCTCTGGCAGTGTTGAGAGACTGGAGAGGCCCAGCTGGTGGTGTCACTATGCCACTGTGGTACACAAGAGTTCCCCAGGCCTCTTTCGCCACATCCAGTCCTGATGAGTCCTCTCCATGACGACACCTGGCTCACAGTCAGGGGCACCATAAGAAAACAGCTTTTTCATACTGAGGCCAATTTGGGCTTCCCCACATTTATTCCCAGTGGTCCTCGCTGTGGCCTGGTGAAGGCCTAAGCTGTAGCCTCCCTCTTTCAGGAATAGCATCCTTTCCCATAGCCATCCCCTCTTTCCCAAATGAAACTTCTCCTCCTCCCTCTTTAGCACCCCAGTCCCTCTGTGGACCCACTTTGGTTTATCATGGCGTCAAATTGGAGCCAGTACTTCAAATTAGTGTAGAAGTCCATCCTGGCGTTACTGTGCCTAAGATTACCTCACAGTCCCGTCACTCATCCACTATTGACTAGCATGACTAGCCTCTGATTAGCAAACAACAGGGTTAATTCCAGCACTGAATTACTGTGTTACTGTTTATGATTTTTAATTGCCTTCCAGGGTATACATCAACATCATGGGAGGTCAGTATTCAGATCAAGCTGGCAACAGAGTAAGAGCTTGGACTTGGTCGAGTTCTTCACCCCTTGTTTCCTTTAAACCCATCTTCCTGGCTTTGAACCATAATATTGGGATTCGTATCTTAGAGCAAGACAAGATTTCCATCACTTTTCTAGCAATGGGCCAACAAGCAATGATCAGGGTTGGAACCAAAGTAAAGGTAGGCATATTATTAATATACTTTAAAGCGTTTAAAATAATAACAAAGGAATAACTTTTGTAAATGTCATTACTAATATATTACACACATGCACAATCTATAGTCCACTAAGAATTTTGGCATTCAATGCAAAATGCACAGTAAAAGTCTCATATAATCAAGGATTATAGTTTCTTTTCTTCTGAAACTCCTTTTAGTTCAAACTTGGATCCAAATACCATATGTGTGTTTACTCTGAGTAGTGTTGTAGGGTTTTTTGTTTGTTTGTGTTTTTTTTTTTTTTTTATCGGTACCGGGGATCGAACTCAACAGGCAGTCATGAGTTCCATCCCCGGTACCGATTAAAAAAAATGAAAAAGAAAAACAAAGATTCACACTTTACCTGCTTTGGCAGAAAAGCTCTGCGCTGGGCTAGGTGACATGGGTTTTAATTAGGGCCCTCCTGGAGCTGCCTACCACAGCTGGGAGACATTCACCCAATCAGTGACAGGCACATTACACTGGCTCCCCCACCCCCACCCCGGTTTGCACTTCTGGGGCTTTCTGAGTCAGGCTGCCCTGGTTACTGGATGCTGAGCTCCTGGAGGGTGGGGGACACCCTCCTTCCTGTCTTCCTCACTCTTCTGTCCCTAAGGGCACTGCTCTGTACACTCTCAATGGCTGGCGACAATGCACAGTGGTTAAAGACAGAGGCTTCAAGTCACAGGCCCTACTTTCAAACCTCAGCTCTGTCACTCTCAGCTAAGGAAGTGCAAACTTTAAAGAAGTTCCCTTGGAGGACCGAGGGTTCCAGGGGGCCGCGGCTGGTGGTGAGTGCTGGGCGCACTCTGCCCAAATTCAAGACTGTTTGGGACCCTCCAGGCTTCAGGGTGCAGTGGAGTGGAGAGGTGGGTTTGGGCTTCTGCATCCACCTCCCCATCCCGGCTGCACTTGGAGAACTGTGGAGCTTCCAACAAGTGGGCGGGCGCACACTATCCCCTGAGCCCAGCCTGTTTGGGACTCCCGCACCTCACCATCGGTGTGCAGAGGAGGGGCTGGGCAGATCTGGGGCGCCTGCATCAGCCTCCCCTTGTGTCTGGAGGACTGTGGATATCTCAGCAAGCAGGGGAGGATCGCAGGTTCCAGAGGCACCGCGGCCAGTAGTGAGTGCTCAGCACACTCTGCCCAAAGCCCAGATTTTTTGGGACCCTCCAGGCTTCCGGTTGCAGTGAAGTGGAGAGGCGGGTTTGAGGAGGCTACATCCGCCTCCGCATCCCAGCTGCGCTTGGAGAGCTATGGAGCTTCCAAAGGGCAGGTGGGCGCACAGTGTCCCTGAGGCCCAGCTTATCTGGAACTGCAGAGTTCTGAACAGTCAGAGGAGGGCCATTGGTTCTGCAGGCTGAGAGGCTTGGGGTAACGGGATGCCAGAGTCTCAGGAGCTACAAACATAGAAGGGGATTTCCAACAGACCCTGAGGAAGCTTTCAAATAACACTTAATACACAGAAATATAGGAAAATGACAAAACGAAAGACCAAATTACAACCTCAAACCTCCAGCCCATCTCAAGAAACCCTAGGAGCAATGTATATAGAAGAAAATATATGCCATTCACCTCAAATATCGGACACAATAGCTACTGAAATTAACAAGCAACTCCAGGAAGCTTTAAAGAAATTCAAACTCGAAATAATCTCCCAGGTAAAAGATGAAATGATAAAAGAAATGAAAGAGATTCTGAATATATATAAAGAAAACGCAGATAAAAAATTGGAGGAACTAAACAAAAAGATAGAATCCCTAGACGATACAAACAGACAATATAAGAAACAAACAGAATACATAATGCAGATGCACAGAGATATACAGGAAATAAAAAACTCCACTGAAAGTTGTAAAAACCGCCTTAATGAAAGTGAAGATAGAATTTCAGACCTTGAAGACAGGATTGCAGCTAGTGAACCGGAAAGGAAAGATCTTTTAAATATAACAAGGAATCAGGAAACAACAATTCAACAACTGCAAGGCGATGCAAAGAAGAATAACATAAGAATGATAGGGATTAATGAAAAAGAAGGAGACAACATAAAGGATATCAAGAGGATATTTAGAGAAGTAATAGCTGAAAATTTCCCAAGCATGAGATCAGAAACTGACATCAGGATCAGTGAAGCACATAGAACTCCAAATAGTCATAACCAAAATAAAACTACACCTAGACATATAATAATCACCATCCCAGAAATCCAGCACAAGAATAGATTATTAAAAGCTGTCAGAGAGAAAAGACAGATCACTTATAAAGGAAAACCTATCAGAATTACAGCAGACTTCTCAGCACAAACAATAAAGTCAAGAAGAGCATGGAGTAAAGTATTCCAGATCCTAAAGCAAAATGATTTCCAACCTAGACTGATGTATCCTGCAAAACTATCATTCAAAATAGATGGTGAAATACGATACTTCCATGACAAAGAACAGCTGAAGAACTTCATGAACACCAAACCAACCCTGCAAAAAATATTGAAAGACAGTTTAGATACACAAAGGAAAAAACCACTAAGCAAAGCAAATAATTAAACAGAACAGAAAGATAAAGATGCAACAGCAGAGAGATAACATGTCAACAATAAACCAACATTTAACAGTAATAACCATTAATGTAAATGGTCTCAATGCACCAATCAAAAGAAACAGACTAGCAGAATGGATCAAGAAACAAAATCCAACCATATGCTGTTTACAGGAAACCCATCTAACACAGAAGGATACTCACAGACTGAAAGTCAAAGGATGGAAAACAATACTTCATGCAGCAGGAATCCAAAAAAAGGCAGGAGTAGCCATTTTGTTTGCAGACAACGTGAACTTTAAACCAACAATGACCATAAAGGACAAAGAAGGTCACTACATACTCGTAAGGGGAAAACTCCAAGAGGAAGAGATAACTATCTTAAATATATATGCACCAAACTCCAGAGCACCCAGTTATATAAAACAACTATTAACAGAAATGAAAACTCAAATTATCAGTAACACAATTGTAACAGGGGACCTCAATATGCCATTGACACCAAGGGACAGATCAACCAGACAGAAAATGAGCAAAGAAATAACAGAACTGAATCACACCTGCGAACAAATGGATTTGATAGACATATACAGAATGTTCCACCCAACAACATCAGAATACACATTCATCTCAGCAGTACATGGATCATTCTCTAAAATAGACCATATATTAGCTCACAGAACATATTTAAACAAATGCAAAAGAGTTGAAATCATCCCTTGCATGTTATCGGATCATAGCGCTCTGAAATTAGAAATTAATGATAAAAGATACTGCAAAAATCTCGCAAACACATGGAAACTGAATAACACACTCTTGAGCAATCAGTGGGTCACAGAAGAAATTAAACAATACCTAAAAGAAAATGAAAATGCGGATACAACTTACCGGAATTTGTGGGATGCAATGAAAGCCTTCCTCAGAGGAAAATTTATTGCACTGAGTTCCTACATCAGGAAAACAGAACGAATACAAATAAATAACTTGATGCTATACCTCAAACAGCTAGAAAAAGAAGAGCAAGTCAAGCCCAAAGCCAAAAGAAGAGAGGAAATTATAAAAATCAGAGCAGAAATCAATGCAATAGAGACTAAGAAAACAATCCAAAGAATCAATGAATCAAAGAGATGGTTCTTTGAAAGAATAAATAAAATCGATAAGCCCCTAGCCAACCTTATTTTAAAAAGGGAAAAAAAAGCTCAAATTCATGCAATAAGAAATGAAAACGGGGATTCTGAAAATGGCGGCGGGCTAGGGGATCGAGCGAAGAGTCTCTCCAGAGAATTCAAACTCGAAGCTAAAAAAAGACAGCATGGAGAGGGCCAGACAAATCGATAGCGATTCTTATTAACCAAGACAGTACAGCTGGAGGATTTAAAGTCGTGCTGAGACCTTCAACGCCGATAACGGGAGGCTGCAAATCCCGCGCCCTTAAATCAACAAACAGACTCGTGGACCCAGCACGAAAAGCTGAGTTGCTTTTGGGGACTGCGGGAAACTGAGACCCGAACCGAGACTCCAAGTAGCAGCCAGTTCTGCACCGCTGCACCAGAGCGGATGTACAAAGCTCTGGCATTTCAAATCTAAACGGTGCACAGATATCTGACCGGTCAGCGCTGTGCCGGGAGTGCGGGAAAAGTGGACAGCTTGGTGTGCGGCGGTCCCAGAACGAGGACTTGCACCGGACTCTGGTGAGTACAGAGAACCCCGCGGCTGCTGGGTTTGGCCAGAGAACAGCTGGCCCGCCACCATGGGGAAATCAATAACACAGAGTCTGGTGCAGACATATTAGCCTGGCGGCAGAAACCGCAGCTTGGTGACATCACCAGGTCCCCTTGTAGGGAGGGCTGGTGGAAGACATCTTGAGTCCTGGCAGAGCCTGATTACTTGCTGGCTTCAGCTCCACACAGAGAACTTAGTGGGAGCCATCTTAGTTTTGGGCAGATCTGCTATTCTGGTGCTCCTGTCACAGAGAGGTTTGGAAGAGAACGGCTGGGACTTGGGCAGAATCCTGTGCCATAGTGACATTACTCAGCTGCTTCTGATTCAAAGAGAACTGGCAGGAGCTACTGGGGCTAAACCAAGCCTCTGCTTGGGGCTCAATAAGCGGATACAAAATAGTCACAACTCAGTGACAACCAGAAAGTACAGCCTAATTTATGAACTAACTGACACAGAGGCTAGAGACTAGACTGTACCGCCCCTGCATCCCAGCCTACCCCAGATAACAGCAAATTGGGGAGGACAGCAAAAACTCAAGCCAGCACGCTTCTGAAAGGCCCTAAGCAATTCAGAGAGGGCCAGAGAACTCCAGGACAGTCTGAAAGAAACCAGAAACATGACAAGAGATAAAAATTTAAAAAAAATCTCCAGCTGTTCAACAGGAGAAAATAAACCCAAGAGAACTAAACACTGAAGAGAACAAACACAGTAACCATCCTCTACTCGAC